CGGCGGAGGAAGGGCGGAGCGGCTGTCGGCAGAAGCGAGCGGCGTCCGACGCACGTCTGTGAGTCAAAAGGTGGTAGACGCATTGTCCGACCTTGAGTGTCACTGCTGTGGCGTCATGTGCACTGTAGGCGGCGAGGGTGGCGGCGGAGGAGGCGTCCGCCGAGATTGCCTCCGCAGAGGCGGCGAGGGTGGCGGCGGAGGAGGCGGTTTTGGCGCGTGCGGCGGAGGAGGAGGCGGCGGCGGCGGACGAGGCGGCGGCAGAGGCGGTACTCGCCGCAGTCAAGGCGAGGCGTTTAGCTACAGCGGCTGCGAAGGTCAAGGCGCAGGAGTTGGCGGCGGCAACGGCGGTGGCGGCGGCCAAGGCGAGTGCGGAGGCCGGGGAGACCGCGGCCGATGCTGGCGCCGCCGAAGACGCCGCCGCAGACACGGGTGCAGACGCGGGTGTGGACGAGGGTGCTGCCGCCGAGGGTGCTGCCGCCGCCGCAGACGAGGGCGTGGCGACATCGTTTGCGCAGCTCCGGCGTCGGGCCGAGGAGGAGGGGGCGGCAGCAGCTGGGGCGGCGGACCGGCCGCCGACGCATGGCGCCAGCAGCAGCGAGCCCGTGCCGGCTGCCGCGCCAGCAGAAGCTTTGGTCGCGCCCGCCATGGAGGACAGCGACTCGGACCGCACAGAGGACGAGGCGGCAGCGGAGGACGAGGCGCCGGCTGGTGGGCTCGCTGAGAGGACGGAGGCATTGGACGGCGAAGCAAACAGCGACGCCACCGCGCCCAACAGCGACAGCGACGCGACGGCCCCCAACACCGACGACGAGGAGTGAACGACCGAGAGGCGTTTCGGGAAAACCACTGCTGGTGGACTATACACTCTGCTGTCCACATGAAACACTCTGTTCCTCTCTTTGTACTGGGCGTGTATACACAGCCGTCAGGAGCGCCTTGTGTGCCACTGACATCGGAAATAATCTATGCACTATGCACTACGGCTTTATGTGGCTGGCTAGACCGTATAGGGACGCTCTAGTTCCAATTCCTGTGAAGCATCCCTGGCCAGGCCATGGATGTGAGAAATTGCCCTAAAAATGCTCGAAAGTGCGTGACATCATTGCCTCGGAAGGTGGTGTGACCGACCTTGTCAGGACCCGTTCGGCATTGAATTTCGCGCGCCTCGGAGGCGCACCCGATCGGTATGACTCGCCTAGCGACCTCCGCCTTTCTGCTCGCCGCCCTCGCGCCCGCTGCCGCTTCGTGGCAACCGGGCTGGCCCGCCGATCCCAGCGCGGGAAAAGAGAACGTCACGTGCAACCTGAAGTGGGACGTCCTCTGCGGCGACTCTCCGCTGAAAAAGTATCCCTGCGCCCAGCCATGGAACCGCGAGATCGTGCACGAGTACCTGGAGAAGGCAATCGCCGTGGAGTTCTTTACCATTCCACTGTACTTGACGGCTGGCTACTCTCTGCACAAGTCGCAGCAGGTCATGTTTGGCCAGCCAGGCTACGAGGACGCCGTGAAGGTTCAAGCCAACGGAAGGTACGTCGACACTGACAGTAAGAAGGTCAGGTTGTAGATGCAGGGACAGCAGCCGGACCCTCCGCCCCACCGGCTTAAGCTACGCCTGCGAGGCTCGATGAACTCCTAACGCCCTCGTGCTTCGCAGGTCATGCCCATCAACAACAGTTTCACGCCCTACGAGCTCATCCACGCCACTTTCATCGACGAGATGTACCACCTCAAGTGGGTCGCCAACGTGGCGAGTGCTGCAGGACTCGATGCAGACGGCTTTCGGCGTGCGCTCAAAAAGCCCCCCCTTACCAACGGCACCTACCTGGACCAGCTGCCAGTCCGGCTGAGTAGCAACAACCTCACGTACTCTGGATCCGGCGCGCTTGACTCTGTTATCAAGACGATGGTCGCAATCGAGACACCCGACCCCGAGCACGCTCCAAACCCAGACTTTGAGTATGGAGTTGCACCCCCGCCCCCGCCCCCGCCGCGTTTAGAGCCAGCTATGCTGCCCCTCCGGCTGCCTTCCACACACTTCTATTACTCTCTTCACTCTACGATTTTATGTAGCGCTTGCCGAGGAGTTTGCTTAGTGTGTCTCGGTTACGGCGGTGCGTCATCCAATCATTAATGTCTGTGATCATCTCTGTCATTCCTACTGCTTCTGCCTGTGATATAAAATCGTCCTGGAACGTTATCCACGGCTTTTTTCCATCAAGTTTGTACTCTTCTACGGAAACAAGGAGATCAAGGAGGCACCTAGCATGTGGTGAAGGTGCTGGGAGGGACCCCCCCCCCCTGTGGAGAGAAGGGCGCCCCCCTCCCTGGAAGCGATGTCCGCCTGCTCCAGCTCGGATCCGGCCAACTCGCATCCAGCAAGCTGTGATGGCTCGAGCCCACGTGCACCGCAGAGCCCACCGAAAAATCCTCGAGAGCCCACCGATTTCCGTGTCGTTCCCTCCCACCATCCCATGCACAGCGCCACTTGGCAGGCTTGGTCCTACGGACCCGATCGCAACTGTTGGGGGCGCGGGCTGCATCACTCACATTTATCCAAGATAACATCCTCAGAATCATCGCAATACATCCAGGAACTAGTTCCTTCGGTCGTGACGCACCAGCGCCTTCCACTTGGTATGAAGTCCGTAATGCATTCGTTGTACGGGCCATTAGCTCCAAGCATAAACGGGAATTGACACTGTGCACGGCGGCACTTTTCCTCATCATAGTTGTTATTGCCTTGGTGGCAAACGTTGGTGGCTGCAGCGCCCCCGTCCGCGGGATATTCTACAATGGTGGATGAAATGGTGCAAGGCCCTGCTGGGGACGAGGGCGGCGGCGGCGTGGGCGGCGGCGGCGCCGGTGGTGGCGGCGTGGGCGGCGGCGGCGAGGGCGAGGTGGAGGGCGGCGGCGGCGTGGGCGAGGTGGAGGGCGAGGCCGGGTCGGACGGAGGCGGCGGTGTGGGGGGCGGCGCCGACGGGCCGCACTCGGAGCAGCCGTTGCAGCCCCCCCAGTAACACTTGTTACCCCAGGCCTGCGTCTTCTCCTCACAAAACGGCTTGCACACCGCTGGGGGCGACGGCGGTGGTGGCGTCGGAGGCGGCGGTGTGGGGGGCGGCGCCGACGGTGAGGTCGGGAGGGAGGGAGGGTCGGTCGGAGTCGGCGGTGTGGGGGGCGGCGCCGACGGCAAAGGGGCCAGGCACTCGGTGCAGCCGGTGCAGCCAGTCCAGGTGCACTTGTCATCCCAGGCCTGCGTCTTGTCCTCACAAAACGGCTTGCACACCGGCGCAGGGGAAGAGCACTCGGTGCAGCCGCTGCAGCCCCCCCAGGTGCACTTGTCAGTCCAGCCCTGCGTCTTGTCCTCACAAAACGGCTTGCACACCGGCGCAGGGGAAGAGCACTCGGTGCAGCCGCTGCAGCCCCCCCAGGTGCACTTGTCAGTCCAGCCCTGCGTCTTGTCCTCACAAAACGGCTTGCACACCGGCTCAGGGACGATGCACTCGGTGCAGCCGGTGCAGCCAGTCCAGGTGCACTTGTCATCCCAGGCCTGCGTCTTGTCCTCACAAAACGGCTTGCACACCGGCGCAGGGGCGGAGCACTCGGTGCAGCTGTAGCAGCCACCCCAGTCGCACTTTTTATCCCAGCCCTGCGTCTTGTCCCCACAATACGGGTTGCACGTCGAGTGTACGCCGACGGCGAGCGCCAGCGACATCACTGCACGAACCTGCGATGTGTGCATGACGGCGCGGCCGTCGGCGAGGTTGCACGTAATAGTTTTGCCGTTTCTTTGGCACTAGAGGACCCCTGCGCGGCCCCGCCCCCCCCTCGCTGACAAGCTGCCGAGCCCAAATCACTGTGAGAGTCGTGATTTCTTGTTGGTTTTCTAAAATCTCTCTCTTGATCCGGCGCTTCCTTTTCGTTTGGACGGACGAAATGATCGCGGAAAAGCGGGACCGCATCGCGACATCGGGGGTTCACCATATGCCGAGCCTGCTCGGCCCGCCATGCGCGCGCGCCCCTCTCTCTCCTTCCGAGTCGCGATCCCGCGAGGCCCCCGCCGTACGGACTCAGGGCCGGTGCTTTGACGCAGTATATTGTACTTCGAGGTAGTATGAACTCAGAACGGCCCCCCGAGAGCGCCTCTTCGACGCCCACGGGTCCCAGGGGGTCGGAGGGGTTGCGAGAGGGCCTTGGCTATTTTTTGTTTGAATCCCGGAGGCCGTTCGAACATGTAACGTGCGTTCCACGTGCCCGTCCCCAGCAAGGACAACATGCTAGCCCAGCAGGCCGCTCCCACCGCCGCCCGCGGCGGAGGCAAGGCGGCAAAGGGTGGCAAGGGCGGCGGCAAGGGCGGTGGCAAGGGTTGTGGCCGTGTGGCGCACCAGAACCACTTTGCGCCCGCGCCCTCAACGCCGGATACTCGGTTGAGCCGGCGGAAGCGACGGCGCAGAGTTGCGGCCGCCGGCGACCTCCCCAGGGCTTCGAGCCCCGTAGAGACGGCCCCGAGAGCCGCCGCCAGGTGTGCCACGACCGTGGTCGCGAGGCTCGTGGCGATGGATGCGTCAGACCCGTCTTGCGCCGCCGCCCTCAACGCCCGATACTCGATCAGAGCCGGCGGAGCGACGGCGGCGGAGTTGCGGCCGCCGGCGACCTTCCCCTCGACCACGCCGCCGACCCGTGACAAGCAAGTGCGGACTGCCATCGAGAAGAAGGAGACGGAGGGCGGCGCATCCGGAGCCCGCGGGCGCAGCGGGCGCGGGTCCGGGCGCGGGCGGGCGCGCGGGAACCCCGCCAGCGGAGGCGACAATGCCTCTGGCGGCTCTGCAGGCGGCGCGCGGCGCGCCCCTCGCCGGTCTCCCGCACGCTCCTGAGGGCCGAGAGGGCCGAGAGGCGGGGTCGGTGACCCGGGGGCATGGGCGGTGCGGCCCGCGCCGCGCGCGGGCGCGTGACAGCCCGTGAGTGCCGAGATCGGGTCCGTACTTCGACGTAGTATGGGCCCCCGGGGGCCCTCTACAGCAGCGGCGAAGTGAGCGTGTTTGTGGTGTTGGTGTGGCGTCTGAGCTTGGATCTGTGACTAAAGCCGGTTACCACTGATGGATCCCCACCCGAATAACACACAGTGAGCGCCCCAGCGCTTCACTACGCCCTCCGCGCGAAATCGCTAGTGGTGCTTTGTGGTAGTATATTGTACTTTTGAGTAGTATGGGTACGGTTCCCGAGACCGCGTACGCCCTAGCTGCGTGTTGGGCGGGTGTGAGTCGGCATCTTCGCCGCGGGCGCATTTTGCTTGCAGCTTGGTGTTTCGTTACACATTTCGACTAGCACACTCAGTAGACATCGAATTTTGGTGGCGAACTACGGCTATAGAGCTAGGCCTAGGGCCGGCGTTTGTAGCGGCCCGCCTCCATCCATGCGTCCACGACAGCGTCCGCCATGTCGGCGTCCCGTGATGTCTGGCGCTCGAAGAGGGAGTCGAACCCTTCTGGGTCGGAGAGGTAGAAGCGGAGGACGGGGTCGTCGTCAATCATCTGCGAGCAGGCGGTTTGAGGAGTGTGTTCTATGGCAGCCAAGTGTTTCTTGGGCGCAGGGCTGCGCTCGCCGAGGGAGTTTCGAGCGGCTCTGATGCCTCCATCTCGTCAGCCTCGGCGAGCGAGTCGTAGTCCAGGGGCGACTCGATGCTGATGTCCTCCGCCGGCGGCGAGAGTGGCGAGGTGGCGGAGGCGACAGTCGGTTCGGCGATGGCGCACGTGTGCATGCACGGCCGTGGCCGGAGGCGAAGTCGTGACACCTGCGATGTAGCAGCGGTGACTAAGCACACGGAGAGGCCCGTGCGAAGCAAGCACGCTGCTGTCTGTCTCGCCTTTCTCCGCCGCCGCCGTTGCAGCTCCTGTGCCGTCGCTGGCTGAGGCGACCTCGAGATAACCAGGCCGTATGTCGAAGCGAGGAGCATCAGGGCAATCGTACACCGCATCTTCGCTTCTGTGTGTGGTTTGTCGGAATGGGAAGGACAAGCGCGCGAGTTGGCGAGGCTGTTTATCGACCTTCCCAAAAAAATACGGGACGGGTCAACAATGCGTGTCAAACTGTGAAGCATCCCTGGCCAGGCCGTGGATGTGAGAAATTGCCCTAAAAATGCTCGAAAGTGCGTGACATTAATTCCTCGGAAGGACGTTGACCGACCTTGTCAGGACCCATCGCCTCGCCAACTCGATACACACAAATGCCTCCGCTCGCTGCCGCCTTCCTGCTCGCGCGCCTGTTACAGCCTGCGGCCGGGTGGCTCTACGCGGAAAGTGTCTCCGATCCTGCCAACGCGCAGAACGTGACGTGCAGCCTGCACAACGAATTCCTCTGCAGCGACTCTCCTTTCGCCGAGCGACCGTGCGAGCAGTTTGGAAGCACAAACTGGACCCTGCCGATCCTGTACAAGTACTTGGAGGCCGCGATCGCGGTCGAGTTCTTCACGATCCCCTTGTACCTAACGGCTGGGTACTCTCTGCACGAGACGCAGCAGGTCATTTTTGGAGACGCAGGCTACAAGAACGCCGTGAAGGTTCAAGCCAAGGGTGCGTACCTTAACTCGACGAGCAACACGCGTGTCAACATCACCAACGCCTTCACGCCCTACGAACTCATCCACGCCACCTTCATCGACGAGATGTTCCACCTGAATTGGATCTTGAACGTGGCGAGCGCCGCCGGCCTAGGCGAATCATCTGGTCCGAGTCGGGCGTGAGTGCGGTGCCGAACTCATACTTCGCGTAGTACTCGTCCTTCTTCCGCCTGAACGTCACCTCCATCCGGCTCAGCGCCTCGAAATCGCCCTCCATCCGCACTGCGCCCGCCTCGCCCTCCCCCGCGACCTCGTCCATGGTGATGAAGAGGTCGCCCATCTGCAGCGGCGGCAGCTCGTGCCAGGGGCTGTCGGCGTCCGCCAGGTCGTTCGCGTCGTTCATCGCCATCCCGGGACGGCAGCCCGTGACCTTCGCCGTTCCCAAGTACGCACACACGACGTGAGCCACGTTTGCTTCAAACGGCTCCGCCAGCGACGCGTCCTGCAGCTGGTACTCGCCGACCTGGTACAGGTGCTGCTTCGCGCACGGGTGGATCGTCGCCGCGCTCAGCTGCTCCACCGTCCGCTTGCTCGCCGCCGCGCTCGCCTGCGCGCTCGCCAGCCGCTGCTGGCGCGCGCTCTTCCCCGCCTCCTCCGCCAGCATCTTCATCCCGCTGCCGCCGCCCTCGAACAAGGACATGACCTGGTCCCTCACCGACTTCCAGTACTGCCTCGCCTCCGACGTGCCGGCCGCTGGCATCGCGGGCCACAGCTCGCACCAGAGGTGGTTCTTCATGTGTTTGAGGGCGACCTCCACCGACTTCTCGCCGCGTCCGGTGCGCACAATCGCCTCGTCCCCGCGCGCGACACTCTCGACGGGAAAGTGCCAGCGGCTTGCCCTCGACGGCAGGACGCGCGTCGTCGCCAGCCACTGGCCGAACCGGATCGTCCAGCGAATGGTGGGGTGCGTGCCGCGCGAGGTCCGCAACATGGCCACGTCCTTGCCCTTCTTCGCCTGCTGGGCGAGAAAGTCGCGCAGCCGGCGTCTCACGTTCACCAGTTGCCGCGACAGGCTCGGCTGCGGCCTCAGCAAAGGCTGATCGTCCGCCCGCATGGCCTCCTCCTGCCGCTCGTCGTCCATTCCATCGAGCAGGTCGGCCAGTTCGCTATGCTGCGCGGCCGCCGCGCGGCGATGCGCGCCCGCTCGCGTCCCCGTGGCGACTGCGTCCTCCTCGCCGCCGCTCTCCTCGCCGCCGCCCTCCTCGCCGCCGCTCTCCTCGCCCTCGGTGGAGGCCGCCGCATTCGTGCCGTTGGCTGGCGTCGGCATCGCGGTCGCGCGCCGCCACTGCTCGTCGTCAAGCATGTGCCAGTACTGCTCGCCCTGGCAGCCGTCGTATTCGACCTCGTGCACGAGCCGGCCGTCCACGTCCTCCTCCCGCCCCGCGATGGTGGCCGGCCACCACAAGCCTTGCTCACCCAGGATCTCGACGTGCGTTCCCGTCTCCACGATGGTGTGCCCCGCCTGCTTCGCCGTCTCGTCCACCCGCAGCCGCTCCCGCCGCTCCCTCCGGCCGTCCCTCGCCGTCGGAAGGGCGTAGTTCGGGCCGCTCTCCTCCACGCCGGCCAGGACGTCCGCGGCGCTCACCGCCTCGACGTCCGTCGCCTCCTCCGCCGCCGGCTCGGTCGAGCCGCCCGCCGCCTCCCGTTGTCGGCGCTGCCGCTCGCGCTCGTGGTGTGCTGCTCGGCGCTCGACGCCGCCGCCCTCGTGCACACACGCCGCCTGCGGTGCCATCTCGGCTTTCGCGCGCAAATTTTGTCCATTTTGCACAAATTCCGCGACAAAGCCCCCTTCGAACGCGCGAAAGCGCCGGCTTTCGAAACTAACTCGGCGCCCGCCCTCTTTCTGGCCGCGTCCCTCCACTGTCCAATCTTCTGCATTCCTCTTTTACATACATAAACACGCGTCGGCCCCGCACTGGCAGACGTGCGTCATGGGGGCACACACAGACAGCAACCGTGCGCCGGGGCGGCGGGGCCCGAGCACACTGCAAGCACACACAGCGGAGTTAGCAAATCTGTGACGCCGCTTTTCCAACCCACCCATCAATACATGTCACATCTCGAACGGCCTGTGGTTGCCGCTGAGCTCCGCCTCGAGCGCGTGGAAGAGCGCCATCTCCTCCTCCGCCGGGTCGGCCGCCTCTTCGCGGAGACGGCCGACGAGGGTGTACTTGTCGTGCCACTCGTACAGCTCGACCCACCGGTGCGCCTCGCGCCTGAGGCCCGGCGAGGGAAGAGGCGCTGAGCGCCGACGGCGGGAGAGGTGGGCCGCGCGGGGATATGAGCTGGCCCCGCGCCTCTGCGTCTCGGAGAGGTGGGCGGTCGACGAGATGAGGCACGAGGGCGCGAGGCATCCGGTGCAAAAGGCTCTAGTGGCGTCCTTGCCGACCAGCTTGTGGTACGACTTGCCCGGCCCGTAGAAGGCGCCGCCGCTGCTAACGTCGTACACCCGACCGAGGACAGACAGGTAGAGCGGCGACGGAGAGCCGTCGGGGAGCGGCCGGCCGTCAAACTCTGCGAGCTCGTCCCGCGTGAAGGAGATGCAGCCGACGCAGCTGTCCGGGTCGCCCAGCGGCAGCGGCTCCTCCTTCCCCAGCAGCAGCGGCACCAGAGCGTATCGCTGGTTGAAGCGGCGCCGGCGTGCCTTTGCACGAGAGATGTCGCGGGCGAAGCGCATGAGTGCAAAGTTGAGGCCGCTGAGCGGCTGCGTCATGCCCTGGTGGGTAAGCGGCCGGCCCGCGACGGCCGCGCTGGCCACCAGCCCGAGCGGCACGAGGACGGACAGCGAGAGAAGGAAGAGGCAGACATTCTTCAGGCAGCCGGTCCTCGCGTCCCGAGACTTCTCTAGCGGAGCCAGCAGCTTGTCGCTCATCGTCGCTGTTGTCATCGTCGCTGTTGCCATCGTCGCTGTTGTCATCGTCGTTGAGTTGGTTGGACGGGGGGCCTGGCAAAGGCGGCGCCACCACTTTCTTTTTCTTGCATTTAGAGCGAGGGCCTTCCCAGCCCCAAAAGGCTACGGGGAGAAATAGTTTTGTTCAACTAAGGAAACCGAATAATCCAAGGCGTGACAAGGAGTCCGCACGATCATTGAGAAGTGCGCGCCCGACGAAAGGACGAGAAGATTGCGTACATGAAGCTCACGACAGCCCTCCTCGCCTCCCTCGCGCTCTCCGAGGCCGCGCCGCTCCACCGGCAGCTAGACGCGCAGCCCATCGACCGGAGCATCATCACCTGCACTGACAACGACTACCGCGTCGGCAACACCACAGTCTGCTCGTCGCCGGTGGCAACAACGACGTGCGCTGCCCTCCTCAAAGAAGTCGTCGAACCGTGCCTGTCGGTGAAGGCAAAGAACCCTGGCCAGTACACGACGTACGATCCGCTGTCGTGCCCCTCAGTTGGTCCGGCTAAGGTCGGATGCAACGCCGGTGGCATCAAGTCCTGCCGCTACTGCGGCTACAAGGAAGGCAACCACGAGTACGCGTCCTGCTCCGGAGAGACAACGGACTCGGAACTGGGCATGCTAAAGGAACTGCGCAAGCTAGAGGAACTGCGCGAGCTAAAGAAAGAGTACTCGGAACTGGGCAAGCTAAAGCTCGATGATGTCCTCGGCCTCCCGGTTGCGGTCGACTGCGCCAAGTTCTACGACGATCTGAAGCTGATCCAAGAGGCTGGCTGCACGCTCGATGCCCCGTCATTCGACCCATTCATCGCAAACCCCGCGACGGCACCCAACCCAATAGTCCGGCGCGCCAACCAA